GGCATGGACAATGGACGGCGGACGAGCGGGCACGCCGGATCGGGCGGGCAACGACGGCGCCGGGCGGTTGGGGCGAGGCAAGGGCAGGCAAGGGGCCGACGCCGAGTCAAGACGAGGGCGGCACTACTGGGCCGGGCCGGATCGGGCGGGCAGGCCGGTGAGGGGCTCAAGGGCGCGGCCGGGCCGGAGGGCCCAGGCTGGGGGGGCCAAGGGGGGGGGAGACATGGGCTGGCCATGGGGTGGCCCAACATGGAGGAGGAGTGGGGGGGGGGCGCCACGGGGATGGCTGGCCACACGGGAGGGACCAACATGGGGGGCCACGGGGGGGGCGCCAGGCCACATGGGAGGGCGCCGGCATGGGATGGCCAAGGCCACGGGGGAGGGACCATGGGGGCCACGGGAGGAGCAGGCACTGCCAATGGGGAAGGAGGAGGAGGGATCACGTGTGGAGAGAGGGAGGGCGGGCGGGGGGAGGGCGGGGGGGGCTGGGGGCCACGGCCGGGCGGCGGCGACGGCAAGGGGCGGCTGGGTGGCGGCAAAGGGCAAGGATTATGGGGGAGGGAGGGCGGGCCGAGCGATAAGGACGTTTTTTTTTTTTTTTTTTTTTTTTCCTTTGCCGATCGCCAAAGATGTGACGCAATTTCAAGAAGGTCTATTATTTTTTTTTTCAAAAATTATTTTTTAAATTTTTTTAAAATACTTTGTCGATCGCTTCTCGCTCCCTGGCAATTGGCAAAGGTTATTTTTGATTTTTTCTCGTAAATTCTTTGTCGATCGCCATCCTCCCCGGCAATTAAGAAGGGTTTTTGCTAACCGCCACCGATGGCGCCGGCAAAAAGAATTAATTTTTTTTTCGATTTTCGATCCCAGTTTTTTTGTGTTGCCTTGCTACAGTAAGTACATGATATATTCCAAGTTTGGGGTCATTTTGATTTATTTTGATATATTCCATTGATTTTTTCTGTTTCTTTAATTTTTTCCGGCAGCTCCAGATTTGAACTGCAGGTACATGAAATAATGGAATCCGGTGATTCAGAAAATGATATTCATGATGTTTGGAGCATGTTGAGGCCGTGTGCGGGGCCTCGCGTGAAATTTCGACCGTGTTGGTGTCGGAACACGCCGAGCCACGCGCGTGAAAAGTGTTTTTAAATTTTATAAAATCGAAACGGAGTCCGAAAATGACGAAACTTGACGACGTGTCTTGTCATCGCACGCGGAGGCTGTGGTAAAAATTTGAGAAAGTTTCGAGCAAGAGGCGTGGGTCCTCCTGCACGCAGAGCAGCCCGACGTGGATGCACCTCAACATCTCCTGCGGGCCCGGCCCATCGGCTGGGCAGCCCTCGAGCAACTGCGACACGTTCTGATGGCTCCATTGGCCCCAAACCTGCTCGTGCCACACGCGATCGGAATCGAGTATAATTCAGTAATATGCTTCCTCGATGTAGTCTCTACGCGCGAGACACGTTTAGAAAAGATCTAATCCATTTAATAAATCAGAAACATTAGACCATCCATTTATTAGAGTCCAACCATCATTGACAGCGGAGTCGTTCGATCTTTTCTATTTCTTCATAATTAACCAAATTTATTATTGTGAAAGATAATCAAAATGAACGACAACGGAGTCATTGGATCTTTTCTATTTCTTCGTAGTTACCCAAATTTATTATTATGAAAGATAATCAAAGTGTCCATTTTAAGTTCTTAGATTTTGAAATTCAAAATTTAGAATTTTTAAAAACCTCAGATGTGGGCTGTTGATTTGGCAGTTGGGACTGCTTGCCTCTATAAATTTTGAATTTTTAAAAACTATTTAGCAGCCGGGACCGCTTGCCTCTGTAAATAACAACAACCGTCTCTAGAATTGCCTTTTATAGAATTACACCTTAGTCATTATGAAATATAAGTTAAAATATCCCACCAAATTATTTTTAGATATATATGCCTACATATATTTTTAATTGCCCGCTGATGTGACTAATAGGTAAAAAGTTATCTCAAAACAAACATACATATTGTATGCCACATGGAGATCATGAATACAATCATGCATGAGTGATAGATACATATTTTTATTGTTTAGCAATTACGAAAATTTCTTCTCTTAAGGAAGCACACTTTGACAATTAATTTAAATTATTAATATCTCATGAGAATAAAATAAATTATTTATTTGTTATTTTCATAGATTATATTTTGACTAAAAAATAATAATATATCTACTTTGATAGTGAAAGTGCATCTAGCATTTTAGTGGGTTTTGGATGATTGAATGATAACGTGATTAAAGGTCTAACCCGTTTGCTAAGTGTGAACAGGTAATAGGTTATCTCACAGGTACTTAATGAAAGCTAAAATGATATATTGTTGAAACAATCTAGTTCAAACACAAGACAACAATGCAAATGTAATTCATACAAGGCTTGTTTATTGTGGGATTTCGATGACTCGTATGAAAGCAAGCACGGTGAATAATAATTAATGAGACGTGATGGATTGCATATGGATTGGTCTCATCTTTTAAAGCTTGCTAAGTTAAAGACATGTATACAAATGAGTTTAATGAATGATTTGACACCAAGTATGACTAGATGACTTGAGATGGTGAAGATAGCAAAGAAAGGCTTCGATGTACTAAGCAAGGGTGAAGGGCAAGCGACGGCTTGGTGACTGAGGAACCTAGTTAAGGTAAAGAAGGAAGTACTTGTATTTAGTCAAGGCACCGATCAAACCATATTGGTCATATTGAAGTGGAGAATCAAATCCTATATGACTTTTATAAATGGATGACTTGATAACTTTGAAGCCAATTCACATTTATTGAATAAAATCAAGTCAAAATGGTCAAGATGGCTATACTCAAGAATAAAATCAAAGTCGACATGTTGACACACTCTCTTGATGAAGATTGAAAGCTATGGCATTTCGGTTCAAGAAAAATAGAAAATTCAACTCAAGCGCTTCAAATTCCTTTTTCAGTTAAACTTGAGTTATAGGTATGCCGTACTATTAAGAGGGATGTATCATATTGATGGATAATCATTCATAAGTGCTCAAGCCAACCCATGTGAGTTTTCAGTGTTTGAGAGACATAAAATCTAACTTGGTGTTGCTGGTTTGGCAATACCGGACGTGTCCGGTATTTTCCCAGCCACAGCAATTTCCTCAGCTTTCTCGGGTTGGTTCGTCGGGAGTTTCGACGTGAGTCGGGAGTTCCGACGGTTAGGAGTTCCGGCAATCGTCGGGAGTTCCGACGCCTCACTTGCGCCACTGACTCAGTGACTGTTGGTACTGTGCAGGCAATACCTACCGGACGTGTCCGGTATTTGTCCTGTCACAGCAATTTCTTCGTTGTCTCGGCTTGGCTCGTCGTGAGTTCCGACGCCTCACAACGACATTGACAAAGTTATTGTTGGGGTTGTACGGCAGATATCGGATGTGTCCAGTATTGCCCAACGGCTACATAACGGCTAGTTTTTCAAAGGGACTATAAATACCCCTTAGCCTCCACCTTTGAAGGCGGCTGATTCTGTTGACAACCTCACACGTTTTTGAGCCTTGAGAACACTCTCCAACCCTCTCTTAGTGAGTGATTGATTCAAACTTGCAAAATCATCTTGTGGGTTGAGTGAGATTCAAAATTGAAAGCAAGCCATCCTTAGCACTTGTGCATATTTATCGATCTCGTGATTTGCATTTGCTACTCTTGGACTCTTCGGTCTTAGACGGCTAGGTATACCTGCTGCTCTAACTTGTTTGTTGCAGGGTTGTAGCTTCTAGATATATTATTTATATCTTGTATTCTCTGTTGGCTAACTCGTGAGGGGTTTATTTCTCTGATTAGGAGTTTTCAAGTTTGGAAACTCCAACACTAATCGTTTCCGCATTTTAAAGGGTTGAATTTTAGAAACGCCTATTCACCCCCCTCTAGACGGCATCCTCGGTCCTCTCAGATAGTTTAATTTTTAAGTAATTTTTTAAGAAAATTAAAATATACATATTTTTTCATAGAGGATATTCAGTATCAGATCTCAAAATAAATGGCATGTTATTGCACAGCATAGAATCCATTTTTTTATAAAACACAAATAGAATTTGGAATAAAAGGTACCATAAGTACTAGAGTTTCAACTTAATGTGGACAAAAAAATTATAGTACCTAATAAGATCAAATTTTAGAAACCAAAATCTAGATCAATTATGTCATAATACATAGGCTACAACAAGAACTGATATAACTTAAAATTAAGATTTCGACTAAACACATATCGTAGGGACATAGATATGTGATACAAAGTGAGAAAACAATATGAATATTGATGGAAAAAACATATAGAGTAATTAATTTTTAAATGGATGTAGAAAATAAATAGATAGTGTGTAAAGATAAGTAATTTTGATTAGTTGTTGCTAGTAAATATATCACAAACTTAGAGATGCTTAAGTTTCATAAGATTCTATCCCGTGCAGAGTTAGTGAGTGGACTAGTAAACTGCAATCCATGTTCTAATTCAAAGGTTACAACTTACAAAGTTTATGAGATTTTCGGCTGGTCGCCGGCCAGTGACGATCTCTAGGACAAGTACGCCGTAGCTATAAACGTCAGACTTGGTGGAGAAGGTGCCGCACACGGCGTACTCCGGCGCCATGTATCCACTGCATCTCGAAGACATGGCAAGTTAGGAGGTACAATATAAATCTACATCCTTGCTATTGGTAATTACACGTGTGGCACGGTTATATAGAAGAATTTGGAGACCAAACTTACCATGTACCAGCTATCCGGCTTGTGTTTGCCACGCTCAAGGCGATGTCATACAGCTTCGCCAAGCCGAAGTCTGAGATCTTAGGATTCATGTCCGCATCAAGCAAGATGTTACCTGGCTTGAGATCACGGTGGATGATCATCAGCCTCGAATCCTCGTGAAGATAGAGAAGCCCTCGGCCAATTCCCTCGATGATCTTGTACCTCTGCCCCCAGCTTAGCTCTTGCTGCCTTATAGGATCTGAAAGTTGAGTTCACTCATCAGTAAACAAAAGGACCAAGTGGCCTGACATGCAAGGATTATGGTCAAGTGAGCACCAAAAAGGATCTTGTCGAGGCTCTTGTTGACGAGGAACTCATAGATAAGGAGCTTCTCGTCTTCCTCGATGCAGCAGCCTAGAAGCCGCACCAAGTTCTTGTGCTGGAGCTTTGCAACTAGGACAGCCTCGTTCTTCATCTCCACATGCCCTTGTTTCGAAGTTCTGGAGAGTCTCTTCACTGCAATCACCTGCCCATCTGGTAGGGTACCCTGAAGAACATTGAGATGAGATCGGACCATCAGACATTTTGTGTTCTTATTATGAGAAAGACCATTTTTAGGCACTAATTTTTGGTCGTGCTCCAGGATTGAAGTTTACTTTGTAGATCGCCCAAACCCTCCTTCCCGAGCTTATTTTCCTCCTAAAAGTTGTCGATTGCAGCTTCAGAGTACTCTGTGTCGTATGTGAGAGGTTCTCAACTTCTCATTTCTTCTTCTTCAAATTTCCCATGTCCTATTGATAAGAGAAAACGGAAGATCCAAGCCCAAGGTTGCACCACAATGTTCTCTCCCGATAGCTAACAACATTTCAAAGAATTTACCGCTCTTACTATCTCACACGTGCTTGTATGGTTTTCTATTCTTCTTGCAAATTGTAGGCGAATACAAACAAGAAGAAGAAGAAGAAGCAGCAGCATGATGACAAACAGAGAAGAATCGAGACAATAATAAGTGTCATTCCCGACCGTATATTACTTCCTCGCACCGACGGAGCTTAATCGTAATGTAAGCTCTTTCATCAACCTTCACCTAGAATCACTCATCTTTTGAACCAAACTACTGAAACCATCGTGCTTTTAATAGCATTTGTAAGAAACTAGTTGACAACTATATATGGAAAGCCATAGAACATTATTTGGATCTGGATGGAAGGCTAGTCCACCGTGCATTCAAATTACACTTTCCTCATTATTAGACAATACAATGAAACGGATTGTAGATTGACGGGAAATTGTTATACTTTACCAATTAGACATGACTTTTTAAAGCATTTGGAAACAAATTTTGTGGGTTTCTAATACTATTTTCGTGATTTGGTGATAAATGACATCGTAATGACTAACATGCTTTTTGAACAAACTGAAGTTAGATCAGATGATTTCTTGATCTCTTTTGGGCATATTTACATAGAAGAAAACCCCCTCCAATCCATATGTATTGAGAGTAAGGATCTGTCTAGATGCCAGAGCTAATTGCTAGCTAGCTAAAAATTATCTAAAATTAGCCCTAGCATATTCAAACATGAATGTTATTTTTTTTTGTCAAGCCTTCAACTAGTTGTTAGCTAACTAGTGGAAATATATGATGGGAACCACATCTTTGGTGAAAACATGAAAACCAATTCAAAATGCACTTGTACAACCCAAAAGAATTTGAAACTTGGCATATCTATAGTTCATTGACATATGTGGTCACATGCAAAGTTGAGATGTAAAACCATTTTTGGAAAAAAAAATCATACGAAAATAACAAATTTCACTTGTATGTGAACTACAAAACAAAATTTTAGGAAATTTGTCTTCTAGTACACATGCATATGAATTTAAGTGCATAACAGAAATAATGTATTTAGAAAAGTCAAAATATCTTATTAAACAGGAGTGTGACTTCCATTTCTAGGTCTAGGTGCACCCACGCACCAGCAGGGGCAGTGCGTGACTGCGTGCGCTCTTGCGGAGTCAATAGGATTACAACTTCTACCATTTGATTGATGGGCTGGCTGGCGAGGGCCCAACGATAGTGACGGGGCCCAGCTGGGCCAGTCCTGGACTTCGCTAGAGCCACACGCATAATTTGGGGTCCACAGTCCACTGGCACGGCCACTGTAGTGGTAGTTCAACTTACCAGTGTTTTGTGGGCCGGGAAGGTCGCTGCCGTTGACTGGCCCACTTCGTGGCGCCGGCGCTGGTGACATGGCCGCCTGGGCGGCCAGGGGGTCGTAGAACGGGTAAATCTCGAACCGGAGCTGGCAGATCGGCGAGAAGAGCCGGCCGCCCTTCTTCCCATTACAGCACTTGGGGATCTTATCGACAAGAATGGCGAGGCACAGCTTGCAGTTTGCCGCGCTTGTGTCCCGCGTGCACTGGGCCAAGCCATAGAGCGTCACGAAACTTGTTTGCTGGACCTCGCCGGCTGCGAACCTGCGCGGGGACCCGTAGGCGGCCTCCCTGACGAGGTTGCTCATCAGCACGCCGAGCAGCGACATGAACCGCTCCGGCTGCGTCACGTTCTCGTCGTTCGCCCACTGGAAGATCAGGTTGAACGTGTAGGGGTCGAAGCTGGCGTTGGAGTAGCGCAGCATGCAGCCTTCGTAGATGAGCATGGCGTTCTTCTGGCCCGGGCACTTGCTGGCCATCTCACGCGCCGTGTCGTTGAGGCAGGAGCGGCAGTCCGACGCGCCAACGTCGCCACGGCACTGAGCGAGGCCGTACGCCTTGTCCGGCGCGGCGGCGCCGGTGGTGTTCTCGGCGAACCCAGAGGACGCGGCTGCGGCGTCTGGGAGGGAGGAGAGGATCGCGTCGAGGTTGGCCTGGAACGCGCTGCCGCTCGTGTAGTTCATGTTATTCGAGCACTCGGTGCCGATGTAGAACTTGAGGTTGTCGGCGTTAGTTGTTGCGGTGAGGCGGAGACACCACCAGCCGAGGAGAAGGAGCGGAAGAAGGCTGTGCATGGCTAGCTGAGGAAGGTTCCTGTTGATGCCAAATCGCTAATTTTGGTCGCTAACGTACAGTTGCTAATGCTTAGGCACTTCTCTGCTCTTGCTGCGACCTTCTGTGCTCTTTAAAGGCACTTCAGTGGTGATGACCATTGTTTTATTTGCTTATTGCGTATGCATAGTATGAAAGGGTGACCGAAGAATACTTCTCTTTAAATGCAGCTGGAAGATGATTTGGTCGTTGGCTCGTTGGCCTTTGCTGCGTGTAATTCGGAGCAAAGAGGAGATCGACCTGTATTGGACATTGACGTCAGCGACCTTTCTTCATTATTGACCTTTTCCCCCAAATCGTAGGTAGCGCAGCTTGCATTCGAATTAAATCCCACCAGGACTAATCTAATGGAGTACTGTGCTATTTTTTTTTTCGAAAGCGTGCTTTGCAAGTGCTTCATTAAGAGAGGTTAGAGTTCATACAACACAAACCGGCGGCAAACGACGGCGAGATGTCGAGGTCACTGCACGGCTGCACACTGACACAGATCACCGGCTATAACGGTGCAGCTAAACAGGCGTACTAACTAAGAGTATTGTGCTAATCAATCAATCTCAACTTAATTGCACCCTTGATCTTCAATATCTTCGTTTGGGTGGGATGTGCCCTTCAAATTAAATGTGTGTGATAAGGAATTCAGATTGTACCAACGGAAAAGGACTGGGAGACAAAATCAGCAAGACTACACACGGTTTGGAGACAACTGATACAGTTTAAAGATCTTATAGGGCAATGACAATAGTAACTGCAAAAAAGGTAACTACACTAACTTTTGGTTTTAGATCTTTATTACAGGATAATAATAATAGTAACAGTGGGGAAAGATAACAATGCTAACTTTTGGATAGATATTTGGCCAGTTCACGCCGCGGCTCGGCGCGCTGATGAACAACCTCGCGAAGAAGGCGGCGCTCGAGTCCCCGCGGATGTTCGCGGTCGGCTCAGACGCGGTAACGCCCTTCGTGAAGATGTCGCCGATTTGGAGACAACTGGATGTCGCCGGCGCCGGCCCCGGGAGGCGGGTTCGTCAACGGAAGTGACCACTCGGGTCCAGGAAGCGACGGTGAGTCCATCCACAATGCAACTCCTCCAATCTCATATCTCCCGTGGTCCCGTCACTTTCCTGACGCGTTTGATAGTTGACACTTAGGATCTTCTGCCATCCAGTCACTTTTCATAGTTGATGCTTGTTGTGGCTCCGAGATCTGAACTCCGCTGTTGTCGCCGTGATAGTTGACACTTGCTCTCATCTTGACTCGGCAAAATTGACGATGGGATTTCTCCATCTTCTTCAAACATGACCACATGAGATGCGGAAAAACGTTTTTCTTTTTAGTAGAAGAGTTGAATTCCAGAGTTTGGACGGTGACTAATCTTGGCAAAGTCTGAAATGGCTTCTATTCTGAATTACCGTGCACCCGTGTGGATTCTGTTCAGGGAGTAATCAAACAGTCAGGACAGCTCTTCTCGTGTCAATCCCTGTCGCTGTTGCGCTGCTGGTGCTGCTGCTAGTTGTTGCCTATCTCTGCAACAGGAACAGAAAACCACACAAGCATGTGCAGATTGCCAGCATCAGTAAGTGGTGAAACAATGTCAGTACATTTGATGAGTAGTATGGTGCTATGTTTAGGCTTGAGGTCATTTCGTGTTCTATTATAAACAGGACGTGAAGATGACGAATAAATGAGAAGCTCAGAGTCTCTCCTGTATGATTTGAGCACCCTACGAGCTGCCACCAACAACTTCTCACAAGAAAACAAGCACGGCGAAGGCGGTTTTTGGGCCAGTATACAAAGTACGAAACTTAACTTTAAACATGCAACCTAAAAACTAATCTACGCAGCTGATATTCTTTCCCGTAAGTCCGTCAGATTAGTTGTTGATCCGGTCTCAATGTTCTTCAGGGCACGCTACAAAACGGGCAGGAGATTGCAGTGAAGAGGTTGTCTGCAACTTCGCAGCAAGGACAGATGGAGATGAAGAACGAGGTTTTCCTGTTGGCGAAGCTCCAGCACAGGAACTTGGTGCGACTGCTCGGCTGCTGCATCGAGGAACACGAGAGGCTCCTCGTCTACGAGTTTCTTACCAACAACAGCCTCGACAAGATCGTCTTTGGTGCTACATTTTTAGACAACCATGATTCTTAATACTATCATTTCACACCAGTGTCACTAGGACACTCCATTTGCTAATAATTTCAGTAAATTCAACTCGCAGATCCTGCACGGCAACAAGAGCTGGGCTGGGGACTGAGGCACAAGATCATCAAGGGGATCAGCCGAGGGCTCCTCTACCTCCACGAGGACTCGAGGCTTACCATCATCCACCGTGATCTCAAGGCGAGCAACATCTTGCTGGACGCCGACATGAACCCCAAGATCTCAGACTTCGGCTTGGCAAAGCTGTTTAGTATCGACTCCAGCGTTGGAAACACCAGCCGCATTGCTGGAACCTAGGAAGTTTGCCTGCCGGTGGACTCCAGCTGTGGTGATCACGAGCGTGGGTGTTAACCTGACAATCTGACATGCTGACCGTGGCTTTGAAATGCATGCAGTGGGTACATGGCGCCGGAGTACGCTCTGCACGGCATCTTCTCGGCCAAATCAGACGTTTTCAGCTATGGTGTCCTTGTCCTCGAGATAGTCACCGGACGACGCAACACGTACACGCATGCTTCAGGACCCTCCGAAGATCTTCTTACCTATGTATGGATCCCTCTTATTACTGTCATGATGATGAAGCATCAAGTAGAACCTTTTTTTGGTATATATCCTAACTCCTTTTAAGGCTAATATCCTAGTCCTATTATCCTTGTTTTGCATGGCATGGGCAGGTTTGGAGGCAGTGGAGCCGTGGGAGCGTGCAACCGCTGCTGGAGGGGTGCCCCGAGGAGGGGCGTCGGGCGCAGGAGATGCTGAGGTGCATCCACGTCGGTCTGCTCTGCGTCCAGGAGGATCCGCACCTCCGCCGCAGCATGGCGTCGGTCGTCGTCATGCTCAACAGCCGCTCCATTACGCTACCGGCCCCCAACGCGCCAGCCTTCGCGATGCCGGGCCGTGGTCTCACGGTGACCGCGGACGCGCCCGTGACGGGGACGGATCGCCAGGGTGCGAGGGCGGTGGCAGCAGGTCGGGGACAGTCCATGTCCATCAATGATGCCTCCCTTACTGACTTGGAGCCGCGTTGATGGGTCGTCAGCGACATCAGCATGGACGACGTCGATGGATCAATGAAGGGCGTGTTCGTCTGGCTTAAAGTCAGCCGGCTGGCTTGTTTTTCCTTTCACAGAATCACTGTTCACGCTACTGTCGTAATGATTTTTTTCTCACAACAATCAGCCGATATGGTATTTTTCAGTCCTGCTTAACAGGCGCGAACTTGAATGTTTCTGGTTCACGTTTTTTGGGTTTCAGTTCTCTGACTGTTCTCTTGTTTGTTTGTTTAAGGGGGTTTGGTTCTGAATTACAGGAATATTTACTTTTCAACATGAACTGTTCAAAGCACTTTGGTTGTCTTTCTGGAAATGTCGTATCAAAATTCAAAAGTAAGGAAGATGGACAACAAAATCTGGGTGGTTTGAGTTACTGTGATAAACTAGTACTTTCTCCAACCACAAAACAAGCCGTGAATTTTAGCATCTTCTCGGACAATCAATTATAGCCACTGCAGTTAGAAATGCGACTTTTCTTTTTTTTATTAGAGGCCAGCAGTACAATACTTTCAAATTTTGATAAAGTTTAAATGGTTTTCTACGGTACTCTAACCACCCAGGTAAGATTTCAAATAAACCCAAGCCCTTAAATATTAGGAGAGATAAAATATTTAATAAAAAGAGAAAATAAATAACCGATTGCTTCCTTTTATCTGTACTAGTATAATGCTCGTGCTAACGTTACGGCAGCACAAAACCATCAAATACTCGGTCTCAGCTACAAGACTCCCATTGTACCACATGTAAGAAAAAAAATCACCCAAACATACTGAAGTAGAGGATTAGCTGCAAATTGCATTCCCATTTGCTGCAACTTAATAACCCACAGATCGATTTGTGTTTTTATTTCCCAAAGGCAATTTATTCCAATACAAATATTTTGTAACAATCTCAATCGGAGAAACAAGCTGACAGTCTCAATTTATTCCAATATACAAATATGACAAGTAAAACAAGATTAAATCAATAGACCCATAACATCTTTCCTTCTCACTGATCCCTAACAGTAACATAGTAAAAAAAAACATGAGATAAAAAAAATCTACAGAATCCTATTCTCTGGTAACCATTTGATAGCAAGTTCGCCGGCTGCTAAGGGAAAGCCAAAACATGCCATCGAATCCTGCTACTGCACCTCAGCCACAATGGGAAGAGATGACAGAGGTGCTGGTGCCCAGCCCCAGTGCCCTGCTACTGCAGCACGCAAACCGGAAGAGATTAGAGATTGGTAGGGAAGAGGAGGCCACAGGAATCAAGCTTAACAGTTTAAGCCCTGCTTAGCTGGTACGGTAATTATATAAGTCAGCTAACCCTATGGTAAAATACAAAACATATTAAAAATAAAACGAGCAATGAGATTCATTAAGATTTTTATGACATAATGAATTGCACATACCTTATTGATTAGCTGCTATGCACCTTCCTCAAACTGTGCGACCAATCGGCCCAACCACTCCCTGCAACCATAATTACAAAATAACACCACTCATCATATACTTTTTAGATCTTTCATTGATGCAAATTGACAGCTTCTTTAATTGTGTTGAAAACTCCTTGATCCTCCATTCTTGTTTCTAACCAGCCCCACTGTAGCACAGTGTATTATGTTCTTTTAAAACATTAGACGAAAAGTCAAATTATTGAAACAGCTAATAGGAGCTGCTAAAATTCCTTGTCCAACTCATAACGTCTTGTGAACTGATGCAATTGGTCACCTCACAAGAGGAGGTTCATACTCATGAGTCATGACTG